TGCTCAATTGTTGTAGATCAAACAACAGCTGATAGATTTTGGCATTGAAGTTGGCTGCAGTCCCATCTTATAGTGACAACACTAGTGCTATAAGTATGACAAAGAACCCTATTCATCATAAGAGGACTAAGCACATAGATGTTAGATACCACTTCTTAAGAGATAACTATGAGAAAGGATTGATCTCCATAGAATTCTGTGCTACAGATAAACAAATTGCTGACATCTTCACTAAAGCACTGAGTAGAGAAAACTTTGAGAGAAACAAATTGGAATTAGAGATGATTAAGATCACCTAATAGGACCAGCTCAGAATGCACAATGAAAAAAAAAACTGAAAGAAAAAACTGAGAAAAAAAAATTTGGCTAGGAAATCTGAATTTGTGTAAATATCAAGATTAATTTTTACTCAGCTTCATACTGTAATTAGTATACTCCCATGACATGTGTTAATATGACTCACTAATCTCTTACAAAATTTTCTCTATTATGGTAAATTGCGGCATGGTCAAGAGAATTCTAAATAACGAACCTGGTTCATCAATATGGGTTCATCTGAAAGCTAAGGTATATTTTCTATACTTTGCACAATTAGAAATATAAATATTTAAATCATGAGCAGAAGTCCTATAATTTGTTCAATTCCTTAGAAAATTCTATCAGTTAGTTTTGAACCAGTTTCGTCAGCCTTAGAACTCTAAACCACAAAAAATGCCTAAAATTTAGGGAAGCCTAACCGCTCCTTCAAACCTGAAATTTTAGGTTGATTAGACCTCTAATTGACCACTGCCAAGGCTGCCGTTATACATTAAATGTGTATTTCTTTTTAAATACACATCATTACCTCCTGCCATCTCCATAATTCTAAACTGTCAAAAATTCCTCTTCACTTCCACTTGCTTTCTTCACCAAAATTCTAACTCACCAATTCTCCCAAGAAAACAATGATCATGAAAAACCCACAATATAATCCTGGAACTCCTCCACCACCCACTCCCTCTAATTCATCTACCCCTTATCTACCTTGTACATCTCCAAAACCCAGGCTGAGAAGGGTGAAAATGCTTGCTCGGTAAATAGTAGCGTCTGGGGTTCTCTCAAAGAAATTAAATGAGAAATTAAAGGCAAGCTAGGTCCAAGACTCCGACTCCAACTCTGATTCTGAGTCATACAAATCGGCTAGTGAGGCGGAATGACCTGGGTCTTCTGACTCTGAAAAGACTCAAGAATCCCCTTCTAAGGTAAGTTCTTCTGAAAATGTAGAAACTAGGTTTGTTCTGGTTAGGCCTGTCAGGGATGTTGAATACCTGAGTTACGAAGGAGTGGAGGTAAAAAAAAATCTGAAAAGAAAAAGAGAGAGAGGGTGCATATGGTTAAGAGAGGGGAAATGGGAAAAGAGTGGTTGATCATTCACCCACTGCTGATTTATCTATGCTTGCTATCTGTGGGATTGAACAAGAAAATATAGAAGAGAGTGGCAAGAAGTCAGGGGGAAGTGGTTCTGGTGAAGTTGCTGAAGGGTTAGTTAATCTAAGCACACAAGGAGATGAACCTGGTTCATCCACTAAAGAGACCTTAACAGACCTGTTGAAAATGATTGGGGCAAGTTATGATCCAAAGAAACGAAGAACTCCCACACCAAAAGCCCCAAGTGCTCCTAAACCCTCCAAGAAAAGAAAGGCTTCATCCCCAACAACTACTGAAATTTCATTGCCAAATAGAAGAGCTACAAGAAATAGGGTGAAACAGAGTGAGAGTGATCTCCAAAAGGCTCTAGCTGAGAGTAAGAAGAAAAAATGGCTAAAGGAAAATGGAAGGTTGGAGAGTCCTCAGAGGCTGTGGAAGTTGAGGAGATGGAACATGTCCATCAGGAGGAAGTTCCAACAATGGAGGTTCAGACCCCCAAGCCCAAAAAGCCCAAGACTTCTTCCAAGAAGTCTGCCTCTGTGTCTGAGGCTGCTGAACCTTCATTATCCAAAAGGACAAGGTCTGCAGTGAAAAGTAGACAAGTACGAATTCCTGAAGATGGGGAATGGAGTGGAGAAGAAGAAGAAGATGAGTCTGATGGTGAACAAGACAAGCTTTCCATGTTTGGCAAAAGAAAGATTTTGAAGGGTAGATTGCTAAAAGACCTGGTAGAACCAGGAATGATGAAACTGGTGGATGCCTTAGCTACTCAGGGGTGGAAGGACCTGGTCCTTCAGATTGATGGTAGGCTAGCCAGGAATGAGATCATTGAGTTCATGGCAAATGCAGAGGTTAAGGATGGCAAGGTTAACATCCTGTGAAAGGAGTTCAAGTGTCCTTTGATGCAGAAAAACTCGGAGAGATCCTTGATATACCCTCTGAAGGGTTTGATGACTATACAAGGCAAATGTGGCCTTATCTGGACTCCCTTCCTAATGCCCTTGACAGTACCGGGAGGTTCTATGATGCTGAAGATGTGAATGAGGCTAGGGCTATTCAGAAGAGTGAAATGAGGGCACAACACAAAGTCTTGTTTGAATTTGTCAACAAGTGCCTACTACCCAGGCAGGAGAGAAGGCATATTGCAAACTATATGGACCTAGTTTTTATGGAGTGCCTGGAAAGTGGAAGGCAAATTAATTGACCTGCATTCATCATCAAGCTGCTGGACAGGGTCATCAATGGCTCCAAGACTCATGCTACCCCCTATGGCTTTATTCTGACTAAGATTCTGGATAGGTGTAATGTGTCTTTGAAGAAATGGGAAATGGCCTCAAGCAAGGATCAATTTGGCATTAACACTCTGATTGCTTGTGACTATTTAGTCAATGCCATCCAAAAATGAACCTGATTCATCCAAGAAGACTCCTATCAACAGTAAGGTCAGGTCTCTTGTTCAGGAATGTGAAGCCAAAGATGCTGAGATAGCTAGGCTCAAGGCTCGTGTGGCAGAGGTGGAGTTTGAGAGGGATGCTCTCAGAACTGAGCTTACCAAGGAAAAGGAGAAGAATGATGGAATTCTTCACAATATGCTGAATCTTCTCCAAGCCCAAAACCAACCCTCTAGCTCCCCCAAGCCTTAGGAATTCTAGCTTTTGTCTCCTAAACCTGTCTAGTACCTTCAGTGACCCGGATTAAGGATTTTTCTATCTTTTTTGCTCATGTTTTAAATGTTTTTTGCTTTGTGGTTGTGGATTGTGGTAGCATATCCTCTATCAATGATATCTACTGTTTTTGCTCTTGTTCAATGTTAATCTTTCCTTGATAGTTTAAATATATTTGCTTGATTACTGATGATTAAACCATGATTGCACTTGCAGTTTCCCCAGTGGCCATGAGTACTTATTAAAAATCTGGGACTCACACTTTGTATGCAACTTTTCGATGATGCCAAAAGGGGGAAGAGATTGAGTTTTACACATTCTGAATAAGTGATGTTTATAACCTAATTAACCTGGTCCTTGATGATAAGTGAATTTTCTCATCTTTGTATTGATGGTTAAGCTGAGTTCTTACAGGATCCAAGTAAGTAGAAAGCGCAGAGTTTGTCATCATTAAAAAGTGGGAATTTATTGGCCCAAGAACAGGTGAAATTTTGATGATTGACAAAAGAACTCAGACATGGATCAGGTCCATCTTGTGAAGCATAGTCATGATCAACCTTTACATGTGAGATGCACGTGAAAGAGATAAATCTAACTGATCGAGAAGTAATATCTCCTGATCTGATCGAAAAGGTTGCATATTGGATAAGGAGAGAAAGACTCCTTACATGAAGAGAACACAATATAGGAAGAAAATAGTGTTAGAGTTTGAGATCACCTTGAACTCTTCTACGATAGAAGAGTAGCATTTAAATCCCAATCAATCTCTGATTACTAACCTATTAAATGTCAGTGTTGTTCTCTTTTACAGGGAATGCACATAAGCAGAAGTTAAACTTAAATTGAGAGCAAAAGAGCAAGGCGATTTTGCAAGCAATTTATGTGTGATTTGAGTGTGCAGTCCTGAAGCTACTTGAACGAGATAGAAGAACCAGTTCCATGTGTCTATCTTTTATTCTAGTTCAATTGTAGTAGGTGATTTTACATTGTACCTTTCAGTTTTCATAGAAGCAATTGTATTAGGTACCTAGCGTGTTCAAGTTAGAGTTAACTTGAAGTTGTCGCAACAGTTGAGACTGTGTGCCACAACGAGATTAGAGTTAATCCTTAGGTTTACAAAGAGTTTTTGTAAATGCTGATTTGGCTCAGTGATTTTAGTGGAAGTTTGGAAAAATCCTACTGAGTAGTAGGTCGTGGTTTTTTCACCTTTTGAGCCAAGTGTTTTCCACGTAAAAATCTATGTGTTCTTTATTTTCTTTACTTATTATTCCGCAAACAGTAATAGTTGGAACACATAGAAGAACCAGGTCCTTCTATAGTTCAGTTAAACGAAAATTGGGTACCACACAAATCACCCCTCTTATGTGGTATTGAGGTTTAAAACATTAGATGTGATTGTGATATTTCTATCTTTAATATGAGGTTTCAGAATTTAGTCTTGAGAAAGAAGAACATCGTGACAGGGAGCGGTTTACTCCTTTAAGTAGGATAATCAAACTAGTAGACTACGGATACTGAACCTCACAACTCCCAATTTCCAAACAAACCAACTTTTCTAGCTTAGGCCTTAAGAGTAAAGAGAATAAAATAAGTTGCCGATACTAATTTTACAAGCATAATACCATTCACAAATCACAAAGAGAAGAAGAATAACGAAGCAACAGTGCAAGAAATTCGGTATAAAACAGGATCATGGCAGAGCACAAATACTGTCCGAGTCCCTTTCAAATATTCTATATAAATTAAAACTCATTCATGTATACGATTCTTTTCAATATTGCTCTCTTTTTTATTTACGCATGACAAATTGGCAATTAGTGCCCCTTAGTGGTCTCTTTGTTGGAGTGGGGAAAAAAGGGCTCAAAAGAAGTTCGAGTGGCACAACAGTGGGTGTTTACCTAATAATCCCATTCCTATTCCAACATACAAGGGTTAGAGATTCTATAAATTAGCTTCAACTCTTCATGAAGTAGTCATCATCGAATCAAAGCCATCATATCCTTTGGATCATACGTTATTTGTATCCTGTAGGAGCAGGAAGCTGTCGAGCTAGCTTCTTTCCTACAAGATTTTCATCTGCCAGGTAATTAAATTAAAGCATAGTACTGCTTGAGTTTTAGCTAGCCTTTTGTGTGGCAAACACTCCCTCCCTTTCATTTGATCGAGTACGGACTTTCGAAAAAATATACTACTACAACTTTTGTAACTTTTAAGGCATTTATGACATATTGTTAAAGGTAAAATGAAAAGTTAAAAGTTTACATATTTTCAGATATAGAAAGGTGACATTTCTTGAAATCAAAGGACGGAGTTATAACTGGACAAAGGGTAGTTAGTTGAACATTCTTCGTTGGAAAACATAACTATATATATATATATATATATATATATATATATACTTTGTCACTGCCTTGAACAGACTAAAAAGGAAAGAATACCATATAAATTAGGGCAGCATGGCTCCGTCACTGTCTCTAAAAAGGAAAGAATACCATATAAATTATGGCGGCCGCTGTCCTATCTTTATTGGAACTCCAAATGTTTTATCCGGTACTCCTATGTGTGCGTTGAGAGTTATTTAAGCCTGCCGGTTAATATGCCTTAATTCGTTGGTCGTCTCTGATTCTTAGTCCCTTAATTTAATTTCCAGCATAGCAACAATTAACATGAGATGTTTACTGTTCGTTTACATGGACTTTTTTGCTTTTACCTGATTTGCTACTAGCGTGTTATACTTATGGCAGGAGTGTAGAGTAGTATATTTTGATCCCTCCACTTAACTCATCCACTTTGTATAGTTGTATTATCGAACATATTTTGTTTCTCTCTTTTTTTTCTTCTTAATTTTGCTTGAAGAATCTATAGAAAATATTCACTTGGTTTATAAAAAATGTAAAAAAGGTGAACCTATAAAAATTTGTTTAAAAATTTATGCGCACATAGTAAGTTCTACTATTTCTTAGGAGTATTTAATTAGTTATTTTAAGTGGACTAGATGTATAGTCATTGTGGAAACTAAACTTTTGTCACCAAGAATTATGGTAAGATCAATGTGATCCCTCCGTGCTTAATTAGAGGTTTCGAATTGGTAGGAAGCACTTTCCCTTTTAATGGACCTTACAAACAAAAATTGGAATTAATCGAGGCCCCCAATAAAAATATCTAATACCGAATTGAAAACCATAAAAAAACCAAACTATTATCCTTTGTTCTTTTTTAGCTCAGCAAGTATATTTTCGGGTAATGATTCTAGTGAAGGTGTTCTTTGACATTCCTTAGTGATAGTAACTTCTCCCTCAAATTAACTCTTGTTTTTTACCTACGTACCATCACTTTTTTTGTATTCACAATGCATTGCGAAATATGAGTAATATGTTATTATTCTCTGTATTTCTTTTAACTAATGTTTTTTTGTTGAATTACCTGTGAAAGCATATATATACCCACTAGTAAAGGTAATTTCAAGCAAAGCATATGTTTCATAATTAAGAGACTTGTACGATTTCAGTGAATACAATATATGAGCACACTGACATTTCAAAACATTTTGGCAGGTAACAGCGACCTAGCTATATACTCTTGAAAATGGAATCCATTGCACGATCCAACAGTCTTAAGTACGAGTGCCTGCTGTTTGGTATGCATGACTACTGTAACTCAACTAACTAGTAGACTGTCAAACACATATTGTAGATCTCATTTATTCATTAATTATTATACAAAATACATTAATTATCGCTAAAGATTTTTTTCTTCTTTAAAATGTATATATATTTTTCCCAGATATGGATGACACTTTGTATCCGCTGAGCTCAGGTCTCAACTTAGCTTGTCGCAAAAATCTAGAAGGTATAGTTTCCCTTGTCATGTGCAGTTAAGTGTGTGTGTGTATATATATATATATATGTAGTAATTGTTGGCTTATTAATTAACATTTCATTCCAGAGTTTATGTTGCATTACCTGGATATTGAAGAAACCGAAGTGCCAAAGATGTGCTTGGAGCTATATAGGGAGCACGGGACAACAATGGCTGGCTTGAAGGTTAATTATATATACACTACATATATAAACTATATATCATACTATTTAGGAAGTAAAATGATTAATGTTCCTTCGACTGCAATTTTTTCAAATGCTTTTTAAATGTTTTAAATTATTAACAATCTAAGTATTGATTCTTCTCACCTAATTAATTATCAAATATGTACTAATTACTTCCAAACATACCACATGGTATTTGCAGGAGCTAGGATACGAATTTGACAACGATAAATTTCATGGTTTGGTGCATGGAAGATTGCCGTACGATGAAGTGCTAAAGCCTGATCCACTGCTGAGGAACCTCCTCCTTTCCATGCCACAGCGCAAAATAGTACGTAAGTAATTAATCCTTCGCAATAATTCTATCCCCCGATCATTACCAACAGTTTTGATGCTTTAATTAGCTACTAGCTATAATTAGGGACCGTCAGCGATTGGTGGTCAGTTGAACATTAATGCTTTAATGGATACAGATTTTCACAAACGGGGATAAAGCGCATGCTATTCGAGTCCTCACTAAGATGGGCTTGGCAGATTGTTTTGAAGGTATTATATGCTTCGAGACTCTAAATCCTCCTCAAGAAAAATATAATTATGAGTATCAAGTCTCAAATAAAAGGCAGGGCGAACAAGTTGCTAAACCTCGCATCTTATGTAAGCCTTCGCTGGAAGCAATGGAGGCTGCTATTCGAATTGCAAACGTTGATCCAAAGAAAACTGTAATATACTCATCTCTCTACTTATAATTACCTCTCATACATGTGCCTACTTAACTATCTCAAAGTATACTCAGTGTAGGCTAAATATTAGTCGCTCCATTTCAATTTAGATGATGTAGTTTGGCTTAATAAAAAATTAATAATAACAAAAAATACTTTTGAAATATGTGATTCTAAAAGTTTAAGGGGCAAAAGCTTTGTGAGACCATTATATTTTTTGTGGCTATAAAAGTTTCTCATTAAAGTTAAATTATTTCTTAATATAGAAATGTATAATTCTTTTTGGAATATACTAATAAAAAAAGTATGTCATTTAAATTGAAATAGAGGGAGTACTTTTTATACATATATGTCAAATCTTAAATATTTTTAATAATAAGTGAAGTTCCTAACTTGGTGTATCCTTAAGATTGAGCATGAACGTAAATTTCCTCTTTCTCCTTTTAGATTTTTTTCGATGACAGTGCTCGGAACATAGCAAGTGGCAAACAAGCTGGACTGCATACCGTAATTGTAAGCTCTCACTTGCTTTTTCTTTCCAGCGATCATATCAAGAGTATAATGAGTAGTTTAAAATTAAATTATTTGTTTTATATAGCGAAAATGGAATAAGAGAGTATACGAATAACTAATTTCAAAAGAAAAAAAATCATGTGCCAATTCAACTTATATATTGGTATTGCGGGATAGCTCATGTGAGCTTCCTGCTGCATGCCTTCGGTGGAGAGTTCAAACCTCAGCAATAGCTATGGATCAGAATACCCTACCCCAAATTAATGTAATAACAAAAATTAAAGTTTTAAAAAATCTCACCTATGTCTGGTACAATATTAATTAACAGGAGTGAGTATTTCTTAGCATGATTATTATGATTATTTTGGTGCAGGTGGGAACCTCGAGTTTAGTGGCAGGAGCAGATCACGCATTGAGGAGCATACACAACATAAAAGAAGCCATTCCTCATATATGGGAAGAAGATGGAGAATATCCAGATCAGCTTCAAGTTATCCAATCCAATGCCGCAGAATTAACTGTTGTACAAGCATAACGTACTCCATGCATGAATTTCTAGAAAGAAATATATATTTGCGTGAAATTAAATAAGCCATTATATATCCAGTGTGATATATATATATATATATATATATATATATATATATA